AATGATATGTATGTAATGTGCACACTGAAGAGAAAACGATAAAGTGTTGTATAATACACAAAAACAGCATAGAAATAAATCGTTTGGATACGATATAACCCGGAAACTGAAAAACTGTTTGCCCACTTGTTCTATTTTTAGAGGGAGTTATACTTAATTTAACGAAACAGGTCACATGAGAAATTAAATTTCTATTTATGTAAAACTGTATTAATTCCTCCATCCTTTACTTAAAGATCTCCATTCAAAATCACTTTACTTAAGTAAAGTTATTTTGTCAATTGTTAAAAATCCTTTTATTTTCCACTAAATATTATATATAAACAGAAGAAAATTATGAATTTATTTTTAACCTTTAGATTATTTCAATAATGGAAATCCCTAGTAATAAGCTTCCATAGTATCCAAATATAGGATATTAAGATTGTATATATGTCAACAATTTGATGGTGCTAACCAATAGCTAACACATTTTGGGTGTGTACAGGATATAAGATAGGGCGTTATGTTTCGAAAAAGAACAAGTTATGAAGAATAATCTCAAAAATTGGTGTCAGTGACGTCACTAAGAGTTCAATTGACTTTCCCATTGACACTGCTTATTTATGGGCTTTTAATTCTTCTTGAGCTATTCAAAAATTAAAATTAGGATGTAGGAAGTATTAATTATTACGTGTACTTTGATTATTTATAATTACGTGAGCTTTGAATGTTGGAGTATCACGCTTATTTTACATTACGCGATCACTTCCTCTCGCGCTAATTATTCTTTCTTTTCAAACAATAGCATGTGTTCTCATTGATACTTATTATCTATTAACGCATTTTTTCTCTTACACAAGCAATTGCTTTTTTTTTTTAAATTACAATAAGTTTTTAAATAAAATGCATTAATTATCATTAGCGAGCTACAAAGTTCGGCGTTGTTACTACTTATATTTTAATAATAAAATGTTATATATCGTAGTAATTTAACCCGCTTAATAACAGATAAGTAAGCAGGTTAAAGTTGTCTTTTATTTAAAAAATAACATGATATCGATCGATTGTTGATAATAAAATAGTTTTTGTATGGGAAATTCCTATAACAATGAAATAGTGAATACTGTCTTGCCCTATATTATCTGTATATTCATTGTTTGTAAGGAAAATGATTTTTATATAGGTGATTTCCCATAGTATAAAGGAAGAAGGAAAAACTATCGGCGAAAGTTAAATAAAATAAGAAAAAAAAAGTGAAAGTTCAATGTAAAGAACAAGGAGCTATGATGTTTCCTCTATTTGATTAGGAAGGATGGATTTCAGTTTTAAAAAACATTTTTAATGCTTATTTTCTCGAAAATTATGATGGATTAGATGCAAATGGCTGTCATGCTCCCATTGAATATTAAATATTTAATAGCTATATTTGAATAACATCTCTGTTATCGCTTTAAGTATCACTTTTATACGCATAAGCGGAAAAACACGTATTTATAAATTAGAAAATTTAATGCCAAAATTCACAAAAGTTATTTAATATATAGATCTGGTAATAGGTGATACGTAATTAACAATATTTTATCATACTTTGTTTTATAAATATTTAGGAACTGCATAGCAATATCATTGAAATTTTTTAAATTATTATTTACTATTTAAATATAATTAATTCTTACGTAATGAGTTATAATTCAATATTTATATCTTATTATGTTGTATTCTAAACATGTTAAAAGTAATAAATATATTGTACATATACGTAAGCAATACGTACATTTATTTTTTGTCTCCTTTCTTTTAAGAGAAATATCTATTTTTATGGATTTTTAGGTTAGAAATGCATCTTTTAACGCAACAATATGAATATATAAGTAAAAACTTGTATGATTTGTATATGTACGTGATAAAAATATTAAATACTGAAAAAATACAAAGTAGTAATTGAAAAAATTGCATAAAAAACAACCTCTAAACAACGGACATTTCTTGTGTTTTTTTTTTTTAGTGGCCATTGTTTAGAGGTTAGACTGAATATATAGTCATTTTATACTTTAAAATTATTGAATTTTTTTAAAAAATTTAAACTTAATTAATTTAAATATAAAAAGAAGTTATATGAATTACGAACAAACTGGAACAATTTTAATTATGTGGCGTATCCTAAAATAAATATATGTATGAGAGTTACTCTAAATTAAAGTTTTCTTTTAATTAAAAATTTAAAAAATGATATTCACAAAATAGGAGCGTTGTTAAATTTATTACCGAAACATCCGTTTATAATAAGATTACGAGAACATTTTCAAAACTAGTATTTTTTTTTATATAGCCATTGTCTAGTAATTAATATACGAGAACGTCCAACTCTCAAGTACTTTCCCTTGAAATGACTTTAAGCTATTTGTTGAACGATTGAAAGAGGTCATTCGCTGTCAGTTTAACTTTTCATAAGGGAAATCCTTTAATCACTTAATTTTCTTTGTAGTTGAACTGCCTGATGCTATTTTACAGAAGACAGATTGTATCTTCTTATAACTTTAAATGCATTAAAGTAAGGAATATAAAACTAGTTTTTTTTTTATTTATTTAGAAATTGTTTCAATATATTTTCTTTTTAGGTCATCATTTATAAATAATACAAATATTTTATTTCTAAATAATCAAATTTATATTCGGGATTTGTTAATTTTTATCCTTGAAAGATGTCGTTTCTTGGAACCTTATAGACTTTGTCAAATAAGATATTTGATTTTAAAAAAATATATAGGCCTATAACTACACGAACCCGTTTTTTTATATAAATTATACTACAAATCAAGGAGATTTTTTCTAATTTAAGAAGAAACTTCAATTTTTCGTGACAGAATATAAATAAAAAATAATACTTTAAGCTTATATCCTCTAGTTTTAACTCAAAGGTCGATTAAAACTGAAAAAATAATGATTCTAAAATTAAATTTACAATGATAAATGCATATATAGTTGTTTATTATATTTTATATTAGAATTTGTTTGCAAATTTATTTTTAGAATTTATTATTACAGTATAAATGAATCGACATTAAAAAAAACTATTAATAATCATTATATCATGTAGCATGTCTTTTAAGCAGGAAAGAATAGAATATTTTGAAATTATTCCATTACAATCACAAAAATATAGGTTATTTTTAACATGTGATATGTTATTTTTAATTTCTAATTACCCACTAAATTTGATGATTTGTATTTTTATTATTCACTTAAAATATTTTTAAAAATTTAATTAAAAAATCCTTATACAGAATAATATTTAAATGTTCAATGAATATATTCATTTAATTAAATGTTGATGAATTAAATTTAAATTATACTCATTAAATATTAAATTTATTCGATAAATAACCATTTAAGATTTCGAATAAATCAATTAAAAGTATATTATAATATAATTTCAATTAAGTTAATTGAAATCTTAATTATGTTGAAAGTTAATTATAATATATGTGTATTATAATTAACTTTTAACATAATTTATAATGAAGAAAATTATATATTATTAATTAATTTCAATTCTTTGAGTTTGCTGGTTCTTTTTCATACTTAAAAATTTTCTAAGAGTAAATGTAAATTAATTAAAATTAAAATAACTTATAAAATATAGTTTTATTAATATTTATGACGCTTAATTTACTAAATAAAAAACTAATTGATATTAGATTGAATTTTGTGATTATATTAATTATATTATTTAAAATTTAATATGCAGTATTTTAAATTGGTAATCTGTAATCAGCTGTTAAATTATTCGTTAATGTTAATATTAAGTGTTACTTTTGTTTATGGCTCTTTTCTCCCTGAATACACTAAAATGCTTTTTTTTATGCTTATTATGGATTTACTAGACCCACAATGGAGCGACCGAGTGTTGAGAGAATCTCTCATTAAAAATTCCTAGGATTCTCATTTATTTTCATTCTTTAAAATCCTGTGATTAATTATCGTTATTTTTAGTATAAGTTATTCATATTCATTGTATACAGACATCTATTTATAAACATGAAATATTTATAAAATACATTATTTAAGTTTATCCACAGCTCTACTAATAACTAATTCTGAATAATAGATATAGTAATACGCTGATTTCAATAGTCGATCTCTTTAAATAATTTATTTTTCTACATTTTTTCTTAATTTTAAATATTCTAAGAAAAAATTTCGATGAATTAAATATATTAAATTTTTTGGTAATTTGATGTATTAAAAAAATTTTAATTGATATAATATAATTATCATTTATTTTTTATCGTACTGAGCGATTAAAATATATTTTAAACTATTTTTTTTCTAGTATTTTAAATTTATTTCGTTATATGATAGTACTATTGACATGTGTTGTGCTTTGTCTTTATATACCCTGTTATCACTGATTTTAGCTTGTAATTTGTGGATATTTATTTGTTTTACTTCTTTGTCCTGCGTAGAGTGATGATCTTTGTGACATTTATTCCAATCTAATCTAAAACTTTACGTAGGAATATTGAGAGAAAATTAATGAATTAGATTGGATTGATGAGCTAAAGCAACTCAACACGTAGGCGTTCTGCCAAAGGGGTGTCTCCGGGAGAACTTTCTATGGGAACCTAGCCCCTATTTAGGTGTTAGACTGGAAAACTTCACGTGGCCAGCCCATTAATCAGGTGCGAACCCATAACAAACTACCAGTATTTTCATGGTTTTATCTGCTCTGTCACGGGTGGGATCAAAATTAACGGAGAAGAAATTCAAGTTAACATCAATAACATCATTTATTAATCTAAATTGCTTCCATTTGTTAAAATTTATATCAAGAAAAATAGTCAAAGCTATTATATAGCAGTTTTGTTCCTTTTATGCTTGCTTCGTCATAATAATTTCACTTTAAGAAAACATACCAATAATAAAAATTTCTAAATTTAGATAACACCATTAATTATGCTTACTAATGTTAATTTTGCTATAAAAAATTATATATATAGAGTGCAATATAGATAATCACCAGTAATTCATTCATCAATACAGTTAAGTTCATTACTCGATACAAAAAGAAAATGTTTGTGGTAAGTATTATTATATTTTATTATTTAATTTAAAATTTTAATTCCTGCAAATTATATATAAAAATTTAATATTTTTATATATTATGGATATATTTTATGTCATTTAATTATATATTTTTTTGTTTTAACACTAATAAACGTGCCGCCATCTAACGATGGATGACATAACTATCATGAGCTCATATTTTAATTTTTTATTTTACAGACTGTTCTAACAGCACTTCTACTGTTTAACAGCTTTATATACATTAATGCTAAGTCGGTGCAACACACGCCATACACGAATAACTATTTGTACAAACCTTGCGTATACCCGTATAATTTTTACTTCATTAACGGATACAGAGCTAGGTCTTTCAGATGCGACACTTTCATTGATCCTATATATTATTATTATCATCAAAATTATCACTTACATCCTTCAACAGACTGGAGATCGATGTATCAACATTATTTTCGCTTAGTTTAACGTAAGGCAACGAAAAATCAAGGTATGTTTCATAATATCAATTACGCTTATTTGAAATTTATGTCACACCCTGATGATTAGTAGCATTTTTTTGAAGATTGCTATTAATCATCAATATAGTTTTACAACTTATAATCATGTTCTTTTCTATTACAGGAGCAGTTTCCTCATCAATCATCCTCCATTGTTATATTTTACATAATGAATATTTATTTATTTTGTATGCTTTTTACTAATATTTTTGTAACTAAACGATACGTTATTTAATTAAAAAAATTTTGTTTACAAATGAAAATATAAAATTTATTTATGTTTTTTTAATTTTATATATAATTTATAATATAATATAAATTTCGTACGAAAGAAATTCAGATTTCACGGCTGTTTTCTGTATGAATATTTAGCATAAAGATAATTTATACTCAATTGTTTTCAATACGATTCTATAATGTAAAAGAATTGTCTCAAATATTTTTTATTGGGTACTAAGGAATTTTTTCCATACCCAATATGGAAAAAAGACACACAATAGGGGTGACAGGGTGATGAGAAACGAAGCCTGACATATCCCATACATGAAAAATTCCTGGGGATGCTCGCTCGAATTCGATTCCCCAGGATGGTATTCTATCCCATATATAATTTGAAAGAACTTTATATTTAGAACACAAAAATCGTACAATTCTTGCAAAATCCGTGTTTAATTTTGAATTGCAAATTTTGTCATTTTACGTGTCTACAAATTGCAAAAAGTCTTCAAATTATGACTTTTAGAAATGATTTCTGTGTCAGTAATTACTCATCTTCTGGTTTTTCCCTCAAGTTAAATAAACAATGATGAAACTGTAACAATTTCTACTGTTTTTAAACATTATAGATTTGATATTCCATACACATACCTGACAATTAGATAACATCGTTGCAAAATTTTAAAATTGTGTCATACAGATAAACATGTGCACAAAATATAGAAAAATGTCAAAATACTGAACATATACAGAATCTATTTAGTATTTAAATACATAGAATATAGAAATATTGATAAATCCTATGATATTTTAAAGTTGGTGATAATAATTATAGCAATAGATATTTTTTAATGAATTTATAGCTACAAAATTAAACATGATATATAAAAATAAATAACCCTAGATTAATTTTGAAGAATATAATTATCTACATTTTAATATTCATGTATGGTGATATAAAAATCACGGTCATATTTGACTACTGATAAATATAATATGCGATGGGACATTTAAATTGTAAATTTGCACGAATTTCTTCGACTATTCTATTATATTAACAATCTAAGTGAGTCTCTAGCTATTTATTAATATATATAAAATAAATCACCGGTTCTATTGTAGTTCCTATCTGTGTAAGATTAATATAGATGTTAATATTAATATTAAAATCACGTATTCTGTATTTATATATAACTTTTTATATCGATTATTATAAGAGTGAATGACTTTGAAGTTTTATATGATTGATAGCTTTCACGTCAGTTATTAAATTTTTTCAGGATTTAATTCAATAAAAAGTTGGAAAGGACTCTTGCACGACTTTCCCGACACTAGAACAGAAGGGAATCAGGAAGGAAATCTGATAATTTTCAATTACAATTTCTAAAAATTAGAAAATAAAAAGAAAAGCCTTATTTTGGGGGCATGGGTAGGTTTTTAAACATTTTAAATGCCAGTGATGAGTAAAATTTTCACTGATCTCACTCGAGATATGACCTCTAATCCCTTTATCTCCCCTCTTCTCCGCTTATAAACTCCAAAATGTATAGTATTTAGCCTTTTATATAGAAGTATTTCTACTAAATTTCAAATCAATGGGGTCCTGAGATATAATGAAAAATACAGATAAACACTCACAAAATTTTATTTTCTGTTTTAATTAATTAGTTTGGCATTCTTGGAATCAGGGTATCTTAAAACGTCGAGAAATGTAGAGTCAAAATTTTACAGATTACAATACTTTCCCTCTGTTCTATAACAGTGAGAAAAATAAAAGTACTGTATACCTACTTGCTATACAATAATAGATACATTTATTTAAGGTATGAAAGTTAAATATAATTATATATAAATAAATATAAAAATATATAAAATTGATTTAAGATTTTATAAATAAAATCTTCGAACAATTTAATGCAATAAGAAATCTTTATCAGAATTCTGCTAAAACAGAAATGAATTTTTAGTAGGAAAATCATCTTTTAAGTAGAAAACCTTGAAACAAACTCCAACAATTGGATGATGGATCGAATTCGAAATTTAAGGGAATTTCCACTTCATTTTTTTTTTGGATCATTTTCAGGTCACATTTTTTGACATTGACTGATGACTGACTATCATCACGTGACGTAATAGTCGGTGCCAGTCACGTGACTCACACTTGACCCATTTGCGACGGCAAAATCGAGTTTGATTCGTTCACCTGTAATAAAATCGAAATGAATTATTATGCAAATGTTAAAAGTTCTTAATCGCAAAAAAATATAATAATATTTTGGGATAAACCGGAGAGAAAATATATTACAAATATGAAGACAGAAATAAACTTATTAACACATTTTTTTCTATTTGTTAAAATTGGTCCTCATTTGTACGTAAAATTGCACAAAAATTATAAAAGTATAATCTATCATTTTGATTTTTATCTAATATTAAATTTATTTCTTAAATATACTGATTAACTTTTTGATGTGAAAGCGTTCAATAAATTTGAAGTAGATATCGAATTTATATATTGTATAGGCCTATATATAGTATATTTTACAATGTGAAAAATATGAAAATTCGATTTTGCTCATACACAAACATACAAAACAAACTCAACCCACATAAAACATATGCAACACACACAGAAAAATATCTAACATATTGTATAAAGGTCTAAGCAGTGGCTCCTTATCTTATAGGCACAAAAGGCAATTAATTAATTGCCTGAGGCCCTAAACCAATATTTTTCAAAAAATTTCTCTCGAAAAAAGTTGTCGGAAGTCAACACTGTACATGGGGCCCTCTAATGAAAATTTGTCTAAGCCCCACGAGGCTATAACGTGCCACCGAGTCTAAGTATTATTAAATTCTAATTGTGATCGGTTAGTCAATGTTAAGGACTTTCATTACGTCTTCGATTGATCACGTGATATATCTGGACAAAGGAAAAATACAATTAACTCACTGCATTTCCGATTATTCAGCAGAGTATAAATTTAACGTTTTCAAGGTTTTCTTCTAAAATTTTCAGACTATTACGAATATTACCACCTACAGATTCTGTCATTGTTATGGCAATTAATGTTATCGCGACAACAATTGTGTTTTTAATGAATTAAGAAAATGTGGAAACATAGTCTTAAAATATGTCTTTAAGTACGTCTAGCCTGTGACAGTATAATAGACTGGACAGTAATTAGTATATCCATTGCATAAAAAAGGGTGGGTTTAATTGCTTTACAGGTAGTGGGTCATTGATAAAAAATAAATTTCCCTTTCCGGAAAAATTCCCTACCAACAGAAATACATTTCCCACTAAAACTTAATTAGTGGAAAAATATTTCTAATCAGTTCTATCAGATTGATCTTAATATTAATTCGTCTCGAAATAAACTTTTGCTTAATTATTTTAATTATTTCAGGAGCTGCATCCGCTTTTACGTCCGTCATAAATAATTTTAGAAATCACATAAACGCCTGTAAGTTATTTCGATTCTTTGCATGATTACAGTGACTAGAATATTGTAATGTTCGGGTGTCTGAAATATGTCTTTTAGTATCTTTTTAATATTCAAAGATCATTCGCATGCGACCTTCAACTGAATAATAGAGAAACAAGAAATATATCTAAGCCAGACGCTACGACAATAGATATTTTAACCTACATTCGGTGGATCTTCATCATCTATCTTCATTATCCGTCGTCGAGTTCAGGGTCTTTTAAAACACGATATAATTACGAAAACGACTTCCTGTATTCTGTCAAAATTTTTATTTGTAACAAATAAACAATGAACTATATATCTTCTTTGGTTTATCTATAGAGATGGAAACCAAGAATATCAATTTGTTACTGCGTATTTGGACTATTAAAATCAAAATTTTGATGATACGCGTTGCATATTCAATAGATAAACAGAATCGGGTCATATATATGTTAAATCTCTTAATGATTTCTTTTCCTTGGATAATATTTGATGATATCGAAGCTTGTATTAACTCGGAATTGCATTCTATCCGAAGAAGAAGAAAAGATAATTTTGCCATTATCACGAACGTTCTACATAAAAACAAAAGACATATCGCACTCATCAGCAATGCATCATCATCTTGACGAATACTGACACCATTCTCTGAAATTATATACGAGTTTTAAAACCATAAAAACTCGTTTGAATAACTTTAAAACTTTTAAAATTTTAATTGTGATTAAATGTTTTTTAAATAACTGGCATTACCTCAAAATATATTTAAGATATTTCATTTTGAAATTAGTTAGTATTTAATGGAAGATGAAGCTATTTTCAATTTGAAATTTATGAGACAAGATATTAATATGCTCATGATTCATTCGGATTCATTTCAGACAGCTTTATTTATAAGTTACAATGTCAGTAATAAATACTTGAAAATCGAGTGTAACAAGTAAGTTTCTTTATTTGCTACAAACCATTTTAAATTCAAGATAAATATCAAGATTTGATTCTAAAATACTTTAGATTCAGCCGTCAAAACATTTAACTTACTAACTAGTAAGTTACGTATTATCATCACTCTTACAAATTTACGATTATTTTTCCTTATATTTTAATTTAAATTGTCAAAACTTTATTATGGATCTTTAAAATCATTATAATTATAAACTTGTTTTAGTACTTTCCTCCATTCTCTAGCTTATTATACAATAATGTTGTTAATTTTATTGTGTAATATTCTGCTTTTAAGCGTTACACCCATAATACGACAACATTCTCTTCAAAAATTCTGTATTGCTCTAGAATCACTAAGATAAATACATTTTAAAATGGAATTTTTACAAAAGCGATTTATTATATTATAGTAATAAGTCGAATTTTGGTGAAATAATTTTAAAAAAATTACATTTTTTCAGTTTTGATTTCTATTTTTTTAGAGTGTTCTGTAGATTTTTTAAACATTTTTTGAAAAATTAAACCGAAAAGAATAATTAAAAATTGAAATTATTAAATAAGTTTTTATATTAATTTAGTTTTTTTTTTAAATTTCGTTTTAT